AATTAGATTTGTGAAATTGTTTGCGATAATCAACAAGTTTAATAATATTTGACTCAATCATATTTGATGACCATATTTTCAAACGTGATCTTAATGTTTTTGCGCAAATACTACCACTTTTGTCATTTTTAATTGATTTCATTAGAGAAAAAAATTGTTCACAATTAAAAGTAGATCCAAAACATGTTAGAATTGTTAATGCATTATTTATTAGTAATGGGAGTTCACATATAACGTTACGCTGAAAATGTATTGCGTTAATAACGTTAAACATAATTTTAATCCAAACTTTAAAACATAATTTTAATGTTGTTTATGACAATTGGCTTTTCTACTTCAAGTTCCCAAAAGGTACTTGACTGAACAGGAGGAATTTAATCAAATCACACTTCAATCCATAAAATTATTATTAATTTTATTTAATTAATATCAGTCTTATAGAGAAATTGTGTTTAAACTAATATATTATTAAATAATTTATTTAATTTCCAAAATGTCTGTCAAAACAACCAAAATCTGTGTAATCGGCGCCGAAATAATAGGCATGACATCAGCGGTAGTTCTCATTAAAAACATACCTAATATTGAGATAACATTAATATCGGATAAATTCACGCCAAACACTACCGGCGACGGCAGCGCCGGACATATATACCCGTATATGACGGGCAGTACTGACCCGACACGTGTCCGCCGATGGGTTAGGGACACAATGAGCTATTTAAGGGACCACTTGGTGTCGGAAAATGCCGGTAAACTTGGTATCGGTTTGATGTCAGTGTATATGTTGTTTGACGAACAAAGGGGTGAAGTGTATGAGAGATCAGATTGTGATGAAGAGATGATTAGCTGCAGAGATATGACGGCACAGGAAATGAATCTGTTTCCCAAAAAGTGGACAAAAGGGGTGTTTGTGACCACATATTACCCCGAATGCACTAAACTATTGCCGTTTTTGATGCAGGAATTTAAGTCAAAGGCAAGTAATTAATACCAATTTTAAAACTAATAGTAATATAAAACAAATATTCATATATAAGTTAATTGTTGTTTTAATTATCACTTAATCTGAATGTTTTTCCTAAAAGGGGGGAACTATTGTACAAAAGCGAGTGAACGACATAAAGGAATTGTGCGGAAAGTATGATATAGTAATCAATTGCACGGGTGTTGAAGCAAACAAGTTGTGCGGCGATAGCAAAGTATACCCAATTCGTGGTCAAGTATATCGTGTGATCGCGCCGTGGATTAGACACGGAGTGATTGCCGGCTATCACTATATACTACCAAACAATGACTCAGTTGTGTTGGGCGGCACTCATCAGGACTACAATTCTAGCCGAGAAGTGGACACTAAGGATGGCGACGATATAATGAAAGGATGCGCTCAATTGGTGCCCAGCGTTAAAACGGCACAAGTGTTGAAACAATGGGTCGGTTTACGGCCCGCCCGGGAATCGGTTAGACTCAAGACAGAAGTGGTCACAAGTTTGGGCAAAAAGTTACATGTGGTCCATAACTACGGTCACGGAGGGTCAGGCGTTACCCTATCGTACGGCTGCGCCCGAGAGGTTCTGCATAATGTTAATCAGATTTTGTCTACTAATATGTACTCACAATTATAATCTATAATTTATATTTTGAATTTTAAATAAGTCATATAATCGTATAAAACAGATGTTTTAATTTAAAGTCAGTTTATTTATTTTGATAACTATTTAACGAGCGTATACATTACTTTCTCAATCTTTTATTTAAACAAAATTATAGATGTTTACGGTTTAAATTCAATATTTTGTTTTATAAAATTATTATTAAATATTAAGTTAATAGATCTTATTAGGTTTTATTATCAAATTATGTTATATTAATACTTATTCATACCTGTAATGATAAAATAAACGCCTAATTATTTATAGCGATTATATTGTTTTATCAGTTGTTTTAAGGTAGTACTTTGTTGTTATAAAATGTATGGGAATTATCATGTGCTTTGTGTTCGTCTCTAACAACCAAACAATGTATTCACTCTTGTATTTAAGTTCTTTGCATAATTTTTGTGATATATTATAAGGTGTGATATTTGTTATAAAATATGTTTTTTATCTTAACGATATTGTTTTGATAACCAAATCATGTAAATTATGTATAATTAATTATTAAAAGTTATATAATTAATTAAGTCATTTAATTATTTTAAGTTTCGTTTAAGTTCAAATGCACTCATAACTTTTAGTGTAATTATGTTGTTTAATTTTTTTAAATTAATTAGAATGTATTAATAGAATGACCATAATAAAAGTTTGCATAAAATTAAATCATTGATGTGTTTAATTAAAATAATATTGTTTTGATGTTGTGAATCACAAGTTGTGATTACTAATGCCAAATATGGCTGAGATTTTTAATAAGTTTGAAATTTTTGCCAAAATACCACAAAATTTGATAATTAAACTTAAATTATTTCACGGTTTTAAAGACAAAATGTTGGGAAAAAACATGTTGTTTGTGACAACTGATGATCGGGTCTATGGGTTGGGCAGTAATAGTGAGTCTTCAATGGAAAAGACTTTGTATTGGCTTTAAATAGCGATCACCTGATATATGGCTAGTGTGACCAGGTGGGAAAATCATAATAGTGTACAAAAGCTAAAAATATTCGTCAAAATAGTGTACAAATAGTGTACATGATATTTATTCCAAAATTTTAATGTAATTATATTGATATTACATTACTTTATATTTGGATTTAAATTAACACATTTTAACAGTTTTATATTTGGATAAACATATAATTAATAGTTTTCTTTAAAAATGTTTATGATAACATTTGTACACTATTTTCTGCTGAAATCTATGTGCAATAATGTAATATTTTCAATTATTAATATTCTACAATTTTTACACTTTTAAAACATGGTTTGTTGTTTATTACAAGCAATACTTTAACACAAAACAAAATAGTTTATGAGAGTATTTAATTTTGGGTTAATTTTTCATTATAAACAAAAAGTGTACAATAGTGTACAACATAAAAATAGTGTACAAGGAGTTAAAATAGTGTACAATGTTGCCCAATAGTGTACACCTGGTCACTCTATATATGGCTGGGGTTTAAATAAAACTCCAAATGGAGACACTTATAATAAACAACACAAAATAATATTATGTAATTCACATGATATACGTATTGAGAAAATATCATGTTTTAAATACACAGCCATTGCTCTGACATCGGATGGATGGGTATATCAATGGAAATATCATTCATTAGAAAGACAAAAATTTAATGAAGTACAATTTTCTGATGAATATAAAATTGTAGACATTATGTGTTGTGACCACTCGTTTGGCATTACATCCAATGGAGAGGTGTTTATGTGGAGTAATGACAGAAACAATGAGACAATAATTATACCAAAATTATTAATAAACGTCAATAATATAAGAATTGTATGTAATGTAAAAATAGACATAATTATGTTATCAAATGATAACAAAGTTTATTATTATGATTTGCAAAGTAGAAAGATTGTTAAGATTACCAATCTGTTGTTTATTGATCTTTTGAGTTACAGAACTATAGTTGGAATGAGTGGTGAAAAAGTGTATAAATACGATGAAAATATGAAAGTATTTTTAGAGATAAAATTTACTACATTTGATGAATATTTTATAAATGAATGGCAAGAAACTTATAAAACTATACATTGTGCTCAAACATTTAATACAACCCTACATTATGGTAAGTTAAAATAGTAATTAATTTAATATAAACTATATATTATAATTTATTTTAGATACCAATCTTGAAATAAATAACATAGAAATGTATGAAACACTGGAAATGTTAGGATCGGGCAGTTTTGGTAAAGTATATAAAGTAAGAGATAAACACATCGGACGGGAATACGCAATTAAAATATGTTCATTAAAAGGTAAACAATTTTCATTATCACTGTATAAAAATCTTTGTATTTTTATTATATTTCTTGAATTAATAATTATGTAATTTAAAGGTTTGACAGAAAATTACAAACAAAATGTTTTGACTGAAACGACAAAATTAGTAGATTTGCGATCAGAATATGTCATTAAATATTATTATTCATGGATTGAAAATAACTGTCTATACATTCTTATGGATTGTTTGGTCGGCAGTTTAGCACAACTTTTAGAAAATAAAAAACAAATATTTGGGAAAATAATAACTGATTTTGAATATTATATATCATATGAATTATTCAAACAATTGGTCGAAAGTGTGGAGTATTTGCATAAAAATAATATCATTCACAGAGACCTCAAACCCGATAATGTGTTGATTGACAACAGATACGAGAGATGTATAAAGTTATGTGACTTCGGTTTGTCTAAATCTGTGGATGTATTGAGTGATCGATACAAATAAAGTAGTGTTAAACACACCAAAGATGTCTGAGATATTGAATATATGGCACCCGAAGGACAGACCACTAAATACAACCATTTAATAGATGTCTATAGTCTGGCACTCATTGGGGCAGAAATCTTTGGATTTAATACAAAAGATATTGAAAACGTAAAGTATGTTATTACATATAATAAACTTTTATATGCTATTTATAAATTATAATTAGAATTACATTATTATTTTTAAGTTGAATTTTAATGTTCAAAATAATTATAACATTAATCTCAAAAATAAATTACAAAAAATAAACCAATTATTGGTTGAAATGAGTGCTAATAAGTGGTAAACGAATGGATCGACGGATTGGAGACTAAGACCCGAATGTGAAGTAATTTTACGCAAATTAAAACATTTATCGATTGAACCGATTATCAAGAAAAATGATTTATTATATATTGTTAAGTGCGTGTGGTTTTGGTATAAGTCTATCAATACTATCGATACGTTTGCAGACCGATAGCGACAATTAGTGAATGGAGACTTAAATACTGTGCGACTAATCGCTGAGAGATTCAAACAAAGACTGATTGAGAATAGCGTTAAAGCTATGAGTGAAATGCGTTACAAAAGTAAAGGAGATACAATTTCAAATCATTAGAGCAAGTACTGGAAAATTACGGTTAAAACATAAATGATTATAAAACAGCAAGAGTTATGATTAAATAATTGACGTATTTATAATGTGTAACAATATAGGGTTCATTACGGGTGTAAAGATATATATTTTCCCTTATGTTTCCTCTCAACAAATGGGGAAATTTTGAAAAGTTTTTGATAGTTTTTGAAAAATAAAATATATATTTAAAAATAAACATTTTAATAGTAATTTTAAATGTTACATACAATGTGACAAATATCAGGAAAACATTTGAATTAAAATCTCAATATTTACTTCAAATCAATAACTCGTTGTTTGAAAACAATAAGATTTACAAAAATAGAGTTTTGTATGAAAATGCTAGAGATGTTATAAATGCATAATATACTGTATCTACTAGGTTCATCTGAAAGTTTTACATTTTATCACATTAACTTTACATAACAATTACAGGTAAAGTGTATATAATTACTGTATACTTTATAATTATTATCTATATTAATAATATGAGCGTTGCCTCTCATACGGCGCTCGGCGTCGGCCATAGTATCGCACACCGGGAGACCAATCGCCCGCAACCTCTGGCCGTATCTCTCGTCAAACATCGCCGACTGTTCATCAGTCATATGCCGTAATTTTAGTAAACAGCGTAAAATAAGGTTATTGATCACAGTAATGTTTGATGATTTATTACATTGTGTGCATTGTAAAGCAACCTGTTATGGTGATAATGTTATCCTTGATATATTTGTTTTATGATCATTTTTTGGTTTTTCTAAAAGGCTTGGCAATTATCACTTGTTTTAGGTTCACACCTAACGACTAATTGAGGCGATTGCTGCTAAAAAGGCATGAGCGAGTTTATTGCGACCGATGTTAATAGCATAAGGGGCCATAGATGCTTCACTTCAATACTATCAATGCTTAACTGCAATGCTTCAGTATAACTCATTGCCACGCTTTGCTAGTATTGCAGGTAAGCATTGCCTCCTTTGATAGTATTAAAGTGAAGCATCTATGGCCCCTTATTAACATCGGTTGCAATAGACTCGCTCATGCCCTTTTAGCAGCAATCGCCTCAATTACTGTATTCAATATGTTATGTATTCACAATGGTTTATTTGCTTTTATAATTAAAATTTCTATTACCATTAATTTTGCTAAAATAAAATATTATTAAATTCTTATACAGTATATTTTATTTTGTAAAAATTATAATTTTATATAATAATGTCTGAATTTTTAAATAAATTTGAAATTTGTGCCAACATTCCAGAAAAAAGGAGAAAAATCATTAAATTATTTCATATTTTTAACGACATTTTGGGGAAAAACATATTGTTTGTGACGTCTAGTGATCGGGTCTATGGGTTGGGCAGTAATAGTGAGGGAGTGTTGGGTTTGGGACACAACCGACCCATACATACGCCCGAAGAAATACTTGAATTACGCCACCAGAATATACAACAGTTTTTTGTTATAAATAACTTTGCATTTGCTTTGAATTCCGAACATGAGATATACATTTGGGGTCAATATGGAACTTGTTATAAATCCTTTTATACAATGACCACTATGCATCCTGTTAAAGAAAAGGATTTATTCCAATACCTGTCATTTATGTGGAAGATGTGGAGATACGGTATAACCTTTAAATAAGTATTATATAAATGTAAAACTTTTTAAAAATGATTTTGTTGTATTTTTAAGCAAATTACTAATAGTGATTATAGTAACCAATGATCAGATATTAAAATAATTATGATTTTACTACTAATAAGTTTTATTAATATAAGAATAATACCACCATTTGACAATCTCCTTTGTGCATACTCACATTTTTCTTATCGGGCTTATGACCTCGAGTTATGATTATTTTTAAATTAGAATTTATTTATGAAAATCAGGTTGATAAAATCGTTTGGCTACTTGTTTAGCCAACATGTTCAATTATAGCTAATATTAATATTATATGATTATCATTCTTCATAATATGAAGTTCATATAGAGCAACGGCGCGCCTACACAACACATACGTATACATCGTTTATTAGGGCAGCATTGACATACACTATAACATCATTAAACAAACGCTTTTAGTTGAGACTTGACAAAAGTTAGTGTTTCTACATGTATTAAGTAAATTATTGTTTATTTCACAATATAAATCATAGTATTGATATAATATCTCGCAATGAGCTCTTGTCATTCTAGAAATATATTTTAATGAACTTATAACGAGTATTGTATAACATTTCCTAATCTAATTGTTTACTAAAAACAAAACTTTGTATTGCAGTTTTTCAAATTTTTCCATATTATTTAAAACAGTATTTGAGAGTTTCAATTATAGTGTATGTCAATGAAGTCCCTAATCAACTGTGTATTGCAAGAAAAAAGTGTATGTTAAAGCGTCATTACACTATAAATTGTAGTTAGAAATATTAACAATTATTAAAATAATAATATTTACAAAATTTGAAGAATAAGTTTAAAATATGTGAAATTATTACTACATTCCAGAACTTTGTTCAACGTATAGCAACGCTGTGTATTAATTGTTTTGCATACTGTTTGTATTTATTTAACACATAGAGCATAAATTTTATAATACATATTATGTGCGTTTGTGTAGTAACTTTGAATTTGGTTGCTTTTAACGCATTGTTAAAAGATTTTGCGTTGTGTGTAATTTAATTTCCTTTTCCCGCTTTATCGGTATTATATATTTTCAAACAACTTAAATAACTTAAAGTAAAAATAAAATCATTCTTTAAAATAACAATTGGCCTTCGTTTCTGAGTAATAATAGAACTTATAAATTAATTTTATAGGGTCCATCAATTTATATATTAAACCACTCAAAATATTCGTGAAAATATTATCAAGTGATTATACTGTTGAGAAAATATCATGTTATGATGATAACGCTATTGCTTTGACTACTGATGGTGAAGTCATTCAATTGGTATTAAAGTTTTCCGCAAGACGAACCCCAATTGAAATACTATTTCCTGGATATTACCCAATTGAAGACATTATGTGCTGTCAAAGCAACTTCTTTGCCATTACATCCAAAGGGGAGGTGTTTGAGTGGAATTTGTATTCGTTGAATAAAACAATTTATCCAAAATTATTACCAAATATTAATAATGTAAAACTAATAACAATTAATAACCAAATGAGATCGAGAGAAATAATTTTAATTACAAATGATAAACACGTTTATAAATATAATTTGATTGATAAACAAATGCTTATGATTAGCAATTTAATGTGTACAGATCTATTATTTGATAATTTTTTTAATATTGTAGTAAGTGGTAAAAAAGTTTTTAAAATATGTAATGAAATATTTACCGAAACAAAATATACAACATTTGATGATTATTTTGCTGAAGAATATCAGTTGACTTATAAAACCATTAATATTACTAAACTTAAAAATCGTTCTCAAAAAGGTAATAAAAACAAAATTATAATAAAAATTATAAGTTTTAATTATATTTGTTAGAAATCAATTGTGAAATCAATGGTATTGAAATGTATGACATTTTGGAAACGCTAGGATCAGGGAGTTTTGGTGAAGTGAATAAAGTTAAGGCCAAACACAATAAATACAAACATGCGATAAAAAAATGTTCATTAAATAGTAATGTTGTTTAAATTATTATTTCATTAAAAATATTATTAAAGTATGCAAATTTAATCATTAGATTTAACCAAAAAACAAAAACAAAATGTTATGAATGAAAGTATTAATCTGATAAAATTGCGCTCAAAATATGTTATTGGATATTACTATTCATGGATCGAAAATAATTGTTTATATATTTTAATGGATAATTTGGCCGGAAATTTAACACAACTATTAGAAAATAAAAAACAATTATTTGGGACTAAAATGACTGAATTTGAATATTATATATCATATGAATTATTCAGACAATTGGTCGAAAGTGTGGAGTATTTGCATAAAAATAATATCATTCACAGAGACCTCAAACCCGATAATGTGTTGATTGACAACAACTATAGATATATAAAGTTATGTGACTTCGGTTTGTCTAAATCCGTGGATGTATTGAGTGATGAATACAAACAAAGTAGTGTTAAACACGCCAAAAATGTTGGAGATATTCAATATATGGCACCCGAAGGACAGACCACTGAATACAACCATTTAATAGATGTCTATAGTCTGGCACTCATTGGCGCAGAAATTTTTGAATTTAATACAAGAGATATTGAAAACGGAAAGTATGTTATTATATGAAATAAACACATTTTAATACTATTTATTAACTACTAATATAATTACAATTTTATTTTTAGATTGAATTTGAATTTACAAAATAATATAAACGTTAATTTAGAAAATAAATTACAAGATATTAATAAATTATTGGTTGAAATGAGTGCTAATAAGTGGTCAACGAATGGATCGACGGATTGGAGACTAAGACCCGAATGTGAAGTAATTTTAAACAAATTAAACGATTTATCGATTGAAACGATTGTCAAGAAAAAGGATATATTATTTAATAATATACTTGAAAATAAGTTCACATTATTTCTGCATTATTTTCTAAAAGTTTATAAGTATTGCGTTGTTTGTCAAACATATGCTGTAAATAATGGTAAATAACATTGTTTAAACATTTATATTTTAAAACACTTGTAGAATGAGAGATTTTTTGTATTTATTAAGATTATGGTCAAAGTATTTTGTCTTGTATAAACCAGGATCATATATATTTGTTTCGATTTAATCGCGGAGAATTGATAAAAACACATAATATTTTAACAAATGAATTTTATTATATAAAAGTATATGAACACTATGGTGAGTATAAATTTATAATATTGTACATTTTTAGGCAAATCAGATATATTCCCAAAACCTTTTACTATTCTAACAGCAAAATTTAATAATTTAAGCTTTCAAGAATTTTAGTATAAAGTAATTAAGAAATTGTTTTTAATTGTTAAATTTGTTAATCATTTTAATAGATTAGTACTATTTATCGCATGCCAGGCATAATCGTGCATTTGTCCGCATTATAAGATAACATTATATAATATATTTATTATAATTATACTGCACTGAAATATGGTGTTATCATATAACGATAGTGGCGTGTTGCATTACTTTTGGGTAATGTTTTCAAACAAATGTAATAGCGATTGTTATTAATTTTTGAAAATTTACTATAATAAAACAAAATTAATGTCTGGGTTACAACTAAAAATAACTAACACAGCAATGCTATACGTTAGCCAAGATTCTGGTAATTTTCAAAAAATAGATTAGCATTATCTATACATTTAATACAAATCCATAAAATTAACATTGCCCATAAAATTTGCATTCGTCCCATTGACATAGCATTGTTATAGATTTACCACTATCCATGTTATCCTTATGCCATAGATTCAGTATTACCAGTGTTATTCATATGTCATAAACTTAACATTGTCCATAGGATTAGCATTGCCATTGACTTAGCATTACCCATGATAGAGTATAGTTATAGATTTAAGCTGTACTCCCATGTTAATTCCCCATGAACTCAAAAATCCCATGTAAACATATAGCCATTGACTTAGGCTGGAATCCCATGTTAAATCCCATAGTGTGAAGGACCGGAAGGGTACCCTAATGATCCTATAAATTATATTTTTCATATTTCAATTGTGGTTAAAATTTTAATGATCGCTGATGTGTTACCCATAAATTTTGCACTGCCATACCATGAACAAATAGTAATAGTTTACAAATGTTAATTTTTAGATAACGACGAAATTAAGAATATCACAATATTTATTAAAAGAATATTTGAATTAAAACCTCAATATTTACTTCAAATCTATAATTCTTGGATTGAAAACAATAAATTTTACATTCAAATGGAGTTTTGTTCGCAAACTCTATGGGATGTCATAACTGCAAAACACGTGATATTCGGGACACAAACCCATCACTCGTTGGCAATGATTTCAATTGATTATCTTATTTCACTTCAATTGTTAAGACAATTATTAAATTGCATTGAAGAAATAATTGCTTTGGGTATAAATTTGGTAAACGTATCATTGAAATCAAAACAAATATTTATAATGAACGATAATATAACGAGTGAAAATTATATGAAGATTATTTTAAAGTACGAATTGTTTAAGTTTACCAAAGTATCTTCAACAAGATTAAAAAGCAAAGAAATTTATGAAATTGGCGATATAATAGAAGATTTGTTTAAAATACAACTAACATGCGATAAGTATAAATACTTTTAACACTTTAGAACAATTTATTTTAAATATAAGATAATTAGAAATCTGCATCAGGTTACTTTTTTGGAATCACTAAAGTAAGGATATTGTAATTTTACAAGTATTAAATACAGAAATCAGTTCATATATAAAATAAAATAAATTAGATATCATGGTTTGTTTATACTGACCTCCCTTTACTTTATTAAATTGATGTTTTAAGCCATATGATTGGATGTAATTATGTTATCGAGAATATTCTATACAAACTACTTATAAACTTTGATACAATCTACTTAATTTGAAATTATAATATTATCGGTCAGACTCAAATATGATTACTACGTTATAACCAAAATCAATATTTCTAATATATCCTTATTTTATATTTATAGCCAATTTATATTCAATTTGTGTTCATACAATGTTTGGCGTAAATAAGCGCAGAATCAAAAAGTTTATAAACAAATTAAATAACTGGTCAAATGAGAGAACAAGAGATATAAATAATTTAATCAATGAATTCAATGAGATTTTTATTGATAATTTAAACATAAGCGATAAAATGATGCGACAAATGGATTTGGAATTTCAAATGTATATTCCTTCATTTAATGAAAAAACAATTGATCATATAATGATTTATAATTACTTCACACAAATAACTAAACAGTAATTTATTACTTTATATAAATTTATAAATTAATTAACAATCATTTTATCTAATAATAGATTAGAAGAAACTTATAATACATGTTCACCAAAATGTGATTATGAATATTTCGGAAGATCTATTACATTAAGGGATTATGAATTTTTATCAAGTTTTTTATTATACGATTCTCTATGGACAATTCTAAATAAATATAATAAAAAATGTGCATGCACTATTATGAGAATTGAATGCACAGAACTTTTGTTTAATAATAATATTGTCATGTATAGAAACCTATGAAATAAACATTTCTAATTATCCTATTTTTGATTGACTACCGAGGTTATTTAAACGATGCGATTTTAATCTAACGATTAGCATTTGTTAAATACATTATAATTAACAGATTAAGAGGTATAATTTGTTTGGCCCACGGGTAGATTTCCCGGAAATCGGGTATTTAAGTCTAATGCCT